GCACCCTCACACGAGGAGTCACGCCAGCAGGTGGTGAGGGTCTTCGTAGACTTTTTTTTATTGTTTTTATTCATGCGCCTTTAATCTTGGTGCGCCATTCTTGCTATTCTTCGCGTGTTCGGGTTAGCAGGCCTGATTTCTTGTTGTACTCACGTCCTGTATCTTCACTCTGCCATTGATTCGCGTGTGATGTTGTGCCCCCTCCTCCTACTCCTCCTCGAGTTGCTTGACGTTGACACGAATAAACGGTAACCATCACCCGCTCCGCGGCACGTGTTCATACATTGTTGTGGGCACTGATCTCCCGCCCAAACGTCCGCGGCCAAATCTCCGTTTTCTGCCGACCTTTTCCCGTGGATCGGTAGGTCAAGTCCAACACGCGCAAGCACGAGAAAGAGCCGGTGAAGGGGGAGCGTCCGTCCAATGGGATCGTCGCTGCCATCTTCTGCGTGTACAGCTACGCCTTCGTCGGCGCCGCGAAGGTCCAATTCTCTGGGGGGCAGAAAGGCGACGAGACAAACAACGTATTCCTCGCGGCGGTGTCGCACGTGTAGGTAGCGGCCCGGCAAGGAGACCCCGACTGGCTCGGTAAGCTTTTCCGCGAGTTTTTTCACTGTTTTCAGTCGTTGGGCTGGTTGAGACGTTTTTTTCATCGGTCGAAGAACGTGGAACCGTATCTTCCGTAGTTGCGATCATGCAACGTGTACAATAGGTGGTGATAGCATGGGAAATGGGATGCCCCGCCCTGAGTATGTCTATCCTGACCTGCGGGATAGCAATCCCCATCCTACACAGCGTGTAATCTTGTTCGCCGACGTTTGTGTTGCCGGTCTACGAGCTGTTGGCGCGGCGCGCACCGCGCCAAGCGTTTAACAGAAAGCCTTATCATGCAAACCGTCGGACGCACATGGCCCGTCCTTTCGTGGACCATATGGCAGCCCAACGAACATGTATGTGGCGCCCGTCGTGGCCAACCACCCAGCACATCATTGTTTTCGTGCGCACCGTTTCTGCCGGTGATGCCTTCGACACCTTGACGTAAACTAATCACCCGTGTCCTTTGTTTGACATATCTTTGCTTCTCGTCCTGCCGTTCCGGACAAGTTCATCACAGCCATCGCCTCTGCTCGCGCTACACTGCACGGGATCGTTCGCGAGGCCCTCGTCCCGCTTGCTCTCGGGCTCATCCAGAAGGAATGCCTGGAGAACGACCCCTTCACCCTGGAGGACATCTTCCGGGGCGCTCGGGAGCGGGCGCGCTATCTCGAGCCGCACATGAACGCAAGTACTCCGTCTCACTGGTCGACAACACCGACACTAGGCGCTGTGCACTTGTCGCACAGCTAAACCCTCGCGCC